TACTGCAAGTGTGAAAAATGTAACCAATGTCACTGAACAATTTGTATAGAAGCTGTTAAATGGGAAGCTAATTTGCTGTGTAAACTTTCATTGAAAACACAATAAAATACTATTTAAAAAAAAGAAAGAAAGCAACACAGCCCTGCTGACCCAGTGATCTTAGCCCAGTGAGACCCACATAAAGCTCCTGACCTACCAAAAAAAAAAAAAAAAAAAATCATGAAAAATAATTACACATCTCAGCATCTCTTTTAAAAGGTTGTGTTAATAATTTGCAATCCACTATAGATAATATAAGGAGCCCTGGTGGTACAGTGGTTAAAGCACTCGCTGCTAACTGAAAGGTTAGCAGTTCGAACCCACCAGCCACTCCACAGGAAAAAGATGTGGCAGTCTGCTTCCATAAAGATTTACAGCCTTGGAAACCCTATCAGGCGGTTCTACTCTGTTCTGTGGGGTCACTATGAGTTGGAATTGACTTGACGGCAGTGGGTATAGATAATATAGTGCATATTATCTAATATAGATAATATTAGAAGAAAGACTGCTGCATGCAACCTTTCTAGCCAGTAACCAATGAGTCAAGAAAAATATAAACAGCAATATCATGCAAGGAGTCTGAAATCACTGCGTAGAGACTTGACATTTTAAACCTGAACTCTAAAAAAGCTCCCAAAGGCTTTAAGAAAGCAGATGAAGGTGAATCCTTAAGAATCTCATCATCTAAGAAAAGAAGCTCTTGCTGCCACCAACACTGGAAGGCAGTGAGGGTTCCCTGACCTAACTCTTGCAGAAGGCCATTAAGGCCACTCCTAATTATCGTTTTCCTAAATGAGTTATTTTCTCTTCTAGCCTTCTTGCTAATCTATCTCTCATATGTCTCTCATACTAATATATGTCTCATATCTTTAGTTCTTAAATAAATTAGTGCATTACCTTTTTTGTGGGTTGTTTTAATTTGTAGGAGTTGAAGAAGGAGGGGTGAAGAACCTTGTTTCAATTTTGATATTAATATTTAAAATGGGAGAAGGAAATCTAAGGGATTGGAATTCATTTTCCTCTTCTGCAATGTGCGGAAATGGTGTACTGTCCAGGATTAGGTTTGGCTGCAAATGACTGAAAATCCAAAATAAAGGTGGCTTAACCAGGCTGGGATGGTGACCCTCATGACTCTCAAGTCCTCAGAGACTCAGGCCCCTCCCTTCCAGTTCATGACTCTCCTACCCCTAAGGTTTGGCCTTCACCTTCAAGATTCAAACACAGCATTTATATTCCAAACAGTAGGATAAAAGGAAGAGCCCGAAAAGAAGAAAAAGGTCAAAGGGCACATACAAACTTTCTCTTAGGAACCATCCCAGAAACTACTACAGGATACATCGTCTTAGTCACATGGCTACACCTAGCTGCACCGGAGGCTGGGGAAGCCAGCTATGCACCCTGAAAAGTCCCTGATAGAAGGAGGTGAGAAGGGATTTAGGAGTTAATGCATAGTCTCTACCACAAGATTTCCAAGTCTTGTAAGAGTAGAAGTAGTTGATGACTTCAGTGAAAAATTCAGTAAGAAACTTGCCAATGCTCCAAGCAGTAGAGTCACTGAAATATATGGACTTGGCAATGGAGCCCTTGAACTACTCCCTACAACTCCTCAGGTACACCTCAATGATCTGGATCAGATAGCTGAATGTTTTCATGTTCTCTCCCCCTGAGGAGTCAGTGTCCTGTTCCTGTGGCTCATGCAGACCTGGAGGGACTCTCCTCTGGGTCATGTCAATTGTCCAAGTTCCTTGGCCCTGCAGCCTAATCACCTCTCATCATTAAGAAAGAGAGGCCTTTCACATCCAAGGAGCAAATCTCACGTAAGTGACATTTGGCTGATACCCAAAGGTGACAAGGATGAGAGCAGGATAAATAAAGACTAATGTAGAAGCCAGTTGGGGCAGCCTTTCATTACAGCCCTTTCAAGAGCTATTAATCTTGGTCATAGTCAGTCAGCTAAAAATAATTACTTCTTCTAACACATGTTATACACACAACTAGCAATTGTAACAGGTCAGCCCTTCTACCTAGGAAAGACATGGCTTCTGGCTTACCTATAGCCATCTGAAATAATGTCTGCACATTGTTCTAGCACAAGTTCCTTTTCAGTCCTGTGTTGTATACCTTTAACACTAACGTCAAAAGGAAGAATCAATATCAGCAATAACACCGTCATACTCTCAGTAAGTTGCTGCAGAGTTATCTGAAAGAATATTTAAAGACTATTAGAAATGTATTAAAAGATTTGTTACTTCCTCTGACTATAATGATGGCAAATGAAATTTTAAACAAGAGGGGTTAAACACTTCAGCAGTATTTTTCTTTCTACAGTACTTCCTTGTTGAGGTATTTTAATAGACTGTTGTTTATCATTCAGTTCTTAATTTACCATTAATTTCTAGAATCCCCTTAAATTCAAAGTATCGTTGAGCTTTTAAGTCAGGTTAGTTCATGGAAAAAGCTCTGGACCTGGAATTCTAAATTACAGACTCGGCTCTGTAATTAAGTAGCTACGTAATCTTCAGGAAGACACCAAACTCTGTGTGCCTCAGGTGTACTATGGAAAGGTTTGACTCCAAAAAGTCACGTGGTCCTTGACAGCTTTAACAGTACAAACGGACAGGCTCATGTCAACAAGAGTAATAATAGTAATAATCATAAACCATCTAAACTTACATAATTCATAAATAGGGCCTGGTTGAGAGAAAGATTATAAAAGGATTCACAGCAGGGTTTACTTAGGACATGGACACCCCCAATCCCAGTTCTCTAACATTACACGCAAGATACAAAAATTGAATGAAGACATGAGTTGCATAAAGCAAGGTGTGCTGTAATGCAAATGGCGAAGCTGCAGCAGGAGCAGCTCCTGGCTGTGGGTCAGGAGGGAGCAAGCAGCAGGAACACCAAGAAAGTGGAATACCTTTAAATGAAAACCCAGCCCCCGTGAGCAGTCAGACCTCCTGCAGCTGGAAAGAGAGCATGGAAATCCTGGCTTCAAGTGTGACAGCAGAAGGCACTGGAGGAAGGGAGAAACGGAGCTGCTTCTACAATCCGACATTTCCCAGCTACAGAAAGGGTGGGATTTAGCCCCAGGAGCTCTCTTTCAAAGAGACATCTAAAGTAGAGTAGTGGGCTCTGGGTCAAATACTGGGGACACAAACGCCTCACCTCTGAAGGCGGCAGCCTTACCAAGTGAATGTGCGTGCGGGCTGAATGAAGGCTTTACAAAAATGAGTAGACACAAACCAACAGTGGCACCACATACTAAAAAGCAGGAGTTACAGCCAAATTATGGGTCCTCCTGGGACCAGGAGAAATTACAGAATATATTGTGTAAGTTACATGAAGTTAATGTTACGAAGCAAGCAACAGAGATACATAACTGGGAAGAACTGTTTCAGTAAGAGCAACAACAAAAAAGTACAGGTTCCTGGAGGGGTGGCTAGACATCTTTTAACACTTTCATACTTTACTCATTCTTATCAAGCCTGATCAAATAAATACCCACATTTTTCCCTGGTTTAAAAGAAGGAAAGAAAAAAAAAAAAAAGACCTCAATGAAGGATTCTTAGAAACAGAGCCACATTTGACTACGTGGATTTTACTTGTGTGCTATTTATACCTTGAGGGGTTGGGTTTACTTTTATTGTAACTGTAAACTTCATTTGTCATTTCACAGAAGACATCCAAATAATTCCGGGCAGTCCAACATTAGCCCTTGCAAGCCACATTTCTGCTCTGCAGACGCACCACTACCACACAGCTGGGTTAGAAGACAGTGTTAAAATTACTGTGGAACCACATAATTGCTGCATCATTAGTGGTTGGGGGTGGGGGGAATGGATGAGTCCTAAAACAAATTATTCCACATAAATTGAAAAGGGGTATGAACAAACAGATATAACATTGTTGGCTAAGCTGCACTTCAGGATTAACTTAAAAAAAATTTTTAAGATAATATTTAAACATTAACTACCCTCTTGAATTAAGATATCGGGAAAATGAAATTGATTCATATTCAAATCCCCTTTGACTCAGCTACTGCACTCAAGTGAATGTATAGACACACCACATTGTCTTTAACCATTCGTCAGCTGATGGGGACATTTGGGTTGTTTTCACTTTTTGGCTATTATGAATAATGCTGATATTAGCAACAACAAAAACAGTGTACAAAAAAAAAGACTAACCCTGCAAAAGGCTGGCTCTCTCCCATTACCTGATCCACATTTTCCCTCCCACAGAAGCAACTACTGTTAAATATCTTCAGAGATAAGTCACCTATATACAAAAACTTTCCACAAATACTAACACAAGTATTCTGCCCCTTGCTTTTTTGACTTAAATATCTTGAGGACTGTTTCACATTGGTACACGATGCCCATGGGCTACAAGTTTCTTAATTTACTTAATGGGTCTCCTACTAATGGACATTTAGGTTCTTATGCTCTGCCACTATCAATAATCCCACGATGAATATTCTTGTACATATGTCTTTGTGCACATGTGTCAGTACATAAATGGAATAAATTCATGTGAGTAGAGTTGTCAGGTCAAAGGGGATGTGAATATAAATCAATTTTGTTTTCAGGAGCTCTTAATCCCAAAACAGAAGAGATTCAAATGCTCACTGCTGCTTGCATAAGAGGGTGTATAATCAGCAACATCACTAAAAAACGAGCAACCCATTGCATAATTATTATTTTTTTTATTATTGTACTTTAGATGAAGGTTTACAGAACAAGCTAGCTTCTCATTAAACAATTAGTACACATATTGTTTCATGACATTGGTTGGCAACTCCACCACACGTCAACACTCTCCCTTCTAGACCCCGGGTTCCCAATCACCAGCTTTCTTGTCCCCTCCTGCCTTCTAGTCCTTGCCCCTGGGCTGGTGTGCCCCTTTAGTCTCATTTTGTTTTATGGGCCTTTCTAATCTTTGGTTGAAGAGTGAACCTCAAAAATATGGTACGTTTCAGGAATTTGCATGTCATCCTTGTGAAGCGACCATGCTAATCTTCTCTGTATTATTACAATTTTAGTATACGTGCTGCCAAAGCGATCACTGCATAATTATTTCTGCTAACATCTTTATTGAGACACAATTCATATGCCATAAAATTCACCCACTTAAAGTACACAATTCAATGGTTTTTAGTATATTCAGAACGTGCAACCATTCACCACAATCTAAATTTAGAACATTTTCATCATCCCAAGATAAACTCTGTATCCACTGGCCATCACTCCTTATTCCCACCTGTCTTAGTTACCTAGCACTGTAACAGAAATACAACAAGTAGACGGCTTTAACAAACAGAAATTTATTCTCTCACAGTTTAGGAAATCAGAAATCCAAATTCAGAGTGTCAGCTCCAGGGGAAGGCTTTCTCTCTCTGTGGGTTCTAGGGGAAGGTCCTTGTCATCAATCTTCCCTTGGTCTAGGAGCTTCAAAGTGCAGGGACCCTGGGTCCAAAGGATGCGCTCCCCTCCTGGTTCTTCATTCTTGGGGGTAGGAGGTCACTATGTCTCTCTGCTCACTTCTCTCTCTTATATCTCAAAAGAGATTGACTCAAGGTACAGCCTTCTCCTGTAGATTGAGTATTGCCTCATTAACGTAACTGCCTCTAAACCTGAGTCATTAATATCACAGAGGTTAGGATTTACAACACGTAGGATTATCAGATCACAAAATGGAGGACAACCACATAATACTGGGAATCATGGCCTAGCCAAGTTGATACATTTTGGGGGGACACAATTCAATCCATAACACCACCATATCCTACTCCCAGCCCTAGGCAGTCATTAATCTGCTTTCGCTCTTTATACATTTGCATATATGTATTTATATACACATATATATATAAACACCTTGGGGTTCCCATTCTCAAAGAACCCAGACTCTAGAGAGTGTGATACTTGCTGACAATAGTGTGTGGAGATTTTAAGGGTATCAACTAGGGATTAGCAAACTTTCTGTAAAGGCCCAGATAGCAAATATTTTAGGTTTTGTGGGCCACATACAGTTCCTATAGAATATTATTCTTTTACATTTGTTTGTTTTTAACAATCTTTCAAAAATGTAAAAACCATTCTCAGCTCAAGGGCTGTACAAAAACAGGCCACTGCAGATTTGGCCCATGGAACATAGTTTGTCAATCCCTGGAATAAACTATAAGCATGCCAGACGCAATTTAAAATTCATTAACATGAGTCACACGAGCCATTAGCTCAACTCTGGCCCTTCTTACTAATTATTCTCTCATTTCCACAACTCTGTTTATATCAATGCTATTTCTCCCCCAGGTCCCTTGGTAATTAATGAAACACCATATTTTTTTTTTTGTTCCTATATTGGGTCTACCCTTCAATTCCCAATTAAAACTACATTCTGGAAAGTAGTTGAAATCCTATTGAATAAAAGACCCTAGATAACACACACACAACTTTTCCTCCACTAGTCCCTCTGTATTAGTGAGAATACTCTAGGCTAAGCTGTAGTAACAAACAAACCTCAAAGTCTCAGGGGCTAAATACAACAAAGGTCTTTTCCTTACTCAAGTTACCTTTCCAATACAGGTTCATGTGGGGGCAGGGCTCTACTCTACAGTCACTCATAGACCCTACCTAATGGAGACCCCACCACCTGGAACACATGGCCCGCAACGCCACTGTAGTAGGAAAAAGGGAAACATGCAAAAGGTACACCAGCTCTAAAATGTCTTGACCAGGAAATGATACTTACCACTTCCACTTACATTTCATTGGCTAGAACTAATCACATGATCCCACCTAACTGCAAGGAGGTTGGGAATTGTAATCTTCCAGCATGATCAGAAAGGGGAAAACCACATGAGTGAGCACTAGGAGTTGAATAGAAAAGCTAAAGGCCACCAAAGGCAACCTCAGCAAGGCTAGGTGTACCTCACTGATACGAGAGTTATATAATATGCAATATAATGTACAGTATACGGAACACTCAGGTATAAGTAAAATCCTTATTCACCATCCATAGACGTTTAAATCTTAGGCTCTTGACCATCCTCAGTTCTGGCTGGTGCAGCCAGTTCACATCACATTTCTGACCTCAGTGCAGCAGAAACAAAGGTTACTTACCCAGGCTCTGGGATCATATTATACAGCTTACCCTGTAAGCAGTTCCCAGATTAATCAAATTTTAGGCTTAACTAAAACAACATAAAGGAGACCTGGTTGAGCAGTGGTTAAGTACTCAGCTGCTAATCAAAAGGTTAGCGGTTCCAACCTACCAGCCCCTCTTCAGGAGAAAGATGTGGCAATCTGCTTCCATTAAGAATACAGCCTTGGGAACCCTATGGGGCAGTTCTACTCTATCCTATAGGGTTGCTATGAGTTGGAATCAACTCAATGGCAACGGGTTAAAGGAATACACCCTAACTCAACATAACCAACAGCAAATATGCATTGAAATTTGTCAATTCTTCTACCTGAGAACATGGTGAGAAATGGTAACTGATCACAAAAAGGCTCCATGCACCCACCTCCAGGGCCCCGTGTCTGTCTCATATCCCCTACACTCTCTTGGAGGCTATATCACATAAAGTCTATCTTATGTTTGTATCCCCACAATGCCTACTTAGCACTTTGGACCTGGTAAGGTGCTCATTTAAGAGCTATGGCTGCTAAACAAAAGGTCGGCAGTTCAAATCCACCTGCTGCTACTTAGAAACCCTATGGGACAGTTCTACTCTGTCCTATAGGGTGGCTATGACTCAGAATTGACTCAACAGCAATGTGTTTGGTTTTCTTTTTTTCTTTTTAATGTGCTCAGTAAACTTTTCTTTATTTGAATGAAACAATGAAGGAACTGAATCAATGAAATTCGTGTTGCTGAATCTGGTTATAGCATTGCCTCTTTCATAGGAGCATTCTAAGGCTGAAAAGCCGGACACAGAGCCTGCGTGCCTCCCAAAAGAACTGGAAAAGGTGTGGAGTGGGAAGCCAAGTTAGGCTTTGGCTCACAATGCCCCAAGGACACTGACAAATAGCCCAATAATAACCCATCTGAGTCTCAGAAGTCACTCCTTAGTGCTGCTCTATAAAAGCCAAAGGGAATTATTCATTAGCAAGTGTGAGTAACACTAGATACCACCAGCAGATTGTGTTTGGCTTTGCTGAATTATTCATCAGCATTTGTGAGAAATCTACAATCCAAAGGGTATTAAACCAATCCAGACTGTTCGGCAATATTTGTTTCCCTTTAAAAAGGTAAAAAAAAAATCACCTCCGAGCTACAGTTCTTATATTTAAGACCACTTATAAATCTGGCTAAACGAGTAGGTGAAGAAGAAAAAGTCAAATAAGAAAGGGATATCGGCAATCTTATTTAATATTCATCATTATAATGACAGGCAGTAGACTGAACCATGTTTGTTTACCTGTCCACATCTTGTCTTTTTTAGATGCTGTATGGTCAAAGACAGTAAGAGTTCTACAATGAGATTCATATGTGAAGGAGGAAAAAAAACTCCTTTGAGTCCTGTCACAGGCAGATGCAAATTTAATTACTGTGCACTAAGCTTTCCATCTTGTCTAGGTGTCCTTGGAAAGCAACTGTAAATAAGAAGCACTCGGCAATCAGGTGTCAGGGGCTCATTTTATCTGCTACGAAATATGTCACAAATCACTGCCAGGAAGTGAGTCAGGAAGAGGAACAAAGAGAAAGAGCTGACAGTGTTGGAGGCAGATCTGGTGGGTGTGCCTGTTAGTGCAGGGGATGGCTCCCAATCTCAGCTCCGACTTCCCAGAGAAAGTGCTCCTTCCCTGACAACACTCTCTCATCTCACATTTGTTATACATTTTCCTATGGTCTGCAGAAATCACTGCCACAACTGGGAGTCAATTGGAGAGATACTAAGCAGAACTAAATTATTTGAAACCAAAGAAAACCTAGCATGAGCAGATTTACGTTTTTAAGTCAATTGGAGAAGTCGGAAAATTATTGCACAAAATCTAAATTCAGGTAAAAGAGAATGTATTAGCCAGTAGTCTCAAAGAAGACCCTAGGCCTAGCTGCCTTTCCATCTTTTTAGTGTGCCTCTAATTGAATAAGAAGACTGTTGCATTCTATGAAGCTCCAGGTCGGAACCTGAGCTGTCAGATGCCCCGCAGTTTCTATAACGGATGCCGCATTTGTCGGCAAGTGAAAGGAAGTGATCCCTGAGCCTACACCATTTGTAATTCTGCAAAGAGCCTGCAGCCTTCCTGAAGGGAGCCCACATCTGCAGCACGCTGCTCACTTCCACAAGACAACCACAGAAAATGAATGTCACACTCACAACTAACCTAGGGTTCCAGAAGTACTTTCTGCTGAATTATTTTATGAGAATCTAAAAACATGCTGACTTAAGCCAACCTCTCCCCACCACTAGAATGAAATATCAATTACCAAATGGAGGGGGGAAAATCTGAAAGTAGTCAAACTCTATTAAACTCTGAGCAAATCAACCAATCTCTCTAAGCTTCAAATTGCCTCATCTCTTAAAATCAGGGGGAAAATGGTAACTATGTAAGGTTCCTGTGAGGATTACAGGACATAATACTGTGTAAGTTGCAGCCAGTAGTATCATTTTACCAAAGAACAGAGACTTAATAACAATAACACAAGCATGGCCATAATAATAAAATGTATTAAAGCTGTACCTAAAATTCTCTGCAAACATGTTACAATTATTTTATTACCTAACATATCTTGATGAGCACAGAAGTTTTTCCCCCTACTTCTCTGCTTTTATAAAGGAGAAAGAGATCAAAAACTCATCTAAAGTTCCAGAGAATTGATCTATTACCTAAACATCAGCCAGTAAATGGAAGAGGAGGAAGCCCTGGTGATGAAGTGGTTAAAGTGCTCGGCTGCTCCCAACTGGACTAAACCAAAGCTAAGAAGTTTCCTCAATACGATCAAATACTTTTAGAGACAGAGTAGCAGGGATGGGGGGTCTGGGGACCATGCTTTCATGGGACATCTATGTCAACTGGCATAACAAAGCTTATTAAGAAAATGTTCTGCATCCTACTTCGGTGG